GAGGTCATACTGCCTCCGTCATCAGGGCGATGAGTATGAAGATTTCTGTCTTCTGGGTTCTTGCGCTGTGTAGTCTGGTCGATGTTTACCAACGTTTCAGAGGTCATACTGCCTCCGTCATCAGGGCGATGGGTATGAAGATTTCTGTCTTCTGGGTTCTTGCGCTGTGTAGTCTGGTCGATGTTTACCAACGTTTCAGAGGTCATACTGCCTCCGTCATCAGGGCGATGAATATGCCAATAGGGTGTGAGGTGCTAGGTTTATAGGCTGGAAAGTTTCACAACCCAGAAGACGGAAATCTTCATACTCACCGCTGTGAGAACCTCAAGTCTTACATTAAATTGTAACTTTCGAAGAAGTTAACCAAGTTTCAAAAATTACTACCACAACCTCAGTTTCCTTCTGACCTTTTAAACGTCTCCCTATCGAGTTTCTGTGTCTCGGGGGATCCTCCCTCGTGGCCGCTTTTCTTGTGTACTTCACGCAGGTTGTCCATCATCTCAGCCAAACGAGGGTCCGTCTTCCTGAGTCCCGTACTGCGTAGAGCCTGTAAACATCGACCACCACACCCGCATCGAAGTTTCCAAACGTAAGGATTAGAAGTTAACAAACCCATGTACTTATTACAGAACAGGCTGATAAAACATTTTCTCTCTTTTTAGGGAATTCAACGTCAATGTTTTCATCTAAGTGGCCTTTTATAATTATGTATAGTGTAATTATTTGAGGGCCAAAATTACACGGGAATGGAGTCCATAAGTGTGAAACTCTGCCGGTAAGTCAGTATGGTAATTTTATGGGTTGCTTCGTAATGCTGTTAAGCCCAGATTTTTCTTGAAGAAATAACATTAAGGATGGTGGAGATCGAAAGAAAATTTGGGATCGATTAAGTATCGAGATTCTCGAGATAATTCCATAACGAAGGGATATGTTAATGTCTTAGTTTGCCTTATACATGTAGTTTTATCTGAGACCGACAACAAGGGGAGAGTTTTCGAATCGTTAAAATAATTATAATAATTTAAATCACCTAAAATGTGTTAATGTAGGTTTTTATGAGCAGTGACAGTGGTTTGATCCCTTTTCAAAACCATTTAAAATCAATTTATATTTTTATAGTAGCTCTCGAATTCCATTATTAAAAATCAATAATTATTTATCGTGACGTTTCGAAAGATAGTGGGAAATGTTCTGTTTCACTAACATTGTTTAACAGCGTATTTTGTACCGGAAGAAATATTCTTTTTAAAACGTAAAGGGTTAATCCGGTCCGATATTTATGAGAGGTACTCACTGCCAGGAACATGCCGATTGGTAATATATCCGTTTCTTCGTTTCTGAACATGTCGAAGAGGACATCCTCGGTGCTGGCCGGATTTTGGGATGCGTCCTGGTCGCGGGTGCTGGAAAAGAGAATTTTCCTCGCGTCTCTTACTACATTATAACTTATAACAAAAATCAGGTTACATACTACAGGCAGATCAGTTACAATTTACCAAAAGTATAAAGATGTTTCGAATTCTGTCCAGTCTAACATGGCTCCATACGAATAAGCTGTAGGTAATCAGGCAACAACCATGACTAAGACATAAGCAACTTCTAAGATTCATGCAATACCATCATCAGCAGGACTAGACGGTGAATACTAAGCGAAACACTAAGGGTTACTGCATTACGCGTCCTATAAATATTCAAATGTTATTTCTGAAGACAGTAGATTATTAGAAGTGTCTTATTGGATCTAGCAACCGTCAGTAAGAATTGTTATATCGCCTGTCAACCATTTGGCCTAAGCATCATGCTCTGTATTGACCTTGCATTAAGTGGTATATAGAGTGTTCATGTGGACGTCTGAATAACAAGACTGTTAACCCTTTGAAGTCGAAGCTCGTATAAACATTACGTAAGAACTCAGTCCGAACCGCGAAGAAAACACTACACTTCACCATTACAAAGATCGACTGGTTAACCCTTTGAAGCCGAAGCTCGTATAAATATTACGTAAGAACTCAGTCCGGACCGCGAAGAAAACACTACACTTCACCATTACAAAGATCGACTGGTTAACCCTCTGAAGCCGAAGCTCGTATAAATATTACGTAAGAACTCAGTCCGGACCGCGAAGAAAACACTACACTTCACCATTACAAAGATCGACTGGTTAACCCTCTGAAGCCGAAGCTCGTATAAATATTACGTAAGAACTCAGTCCGGACCGCGAAGAAAACACTACACTTCACCATTACAAAGATCGACTGGTTAACCCTCTGAAGCCGAAGCTCGTATAAATATTACGTAAGAACTCAGTCCGGACCGCGAAGAAAACACTACACTTCACCATTACAAAGATCGACTGGTTAACCCTCTGAAGCCGAAGCTCGTATAAATATTACGTAAGAACTCAGTCCGGACCGCGAAGAAAACACTACACTTCACCATTACAAAGATCGACTGGTTAACCCTCTGAAGCCGAAGCTCGTATAAATATTACGTAAGAACTCAGTCCGGACCGCGAAGAAAACACTACACTTCACCATTACAAAGATCGACTGGTTAACCCTCTGAAGCCGAAGCTCGTATAAATATTACGTAAGAACTCAGTCCGGACCGCGAAGAAAACACTACACTTCACCATTACAAAGATCGACTGGTTAACCCTCTGAAGCCGAAGCTCGTATAAATATTACGTAAGAACTCAGTCCGGACCGCGAAGAAAACACTACACTTCACCATTACAAAGATCGACTGGTTAACCCTCTGAAGCCGAAGCTCGTATAAATATTACGTAAGAACTCAGTCCGGACCGCGAAGAAAACACTACACTTCACCATTACAAAGATCGACTGGTTAACCCTCTGAAGCCGAAGCTCGTATAAATATTACGTAAGAACTCAGTCCGGACCGCGAAGAAAACACTACACTTCACCATTACAAAGATCGACTGGTTAACCCTCTGAAGCCGAAGCTCGTATAAATATTACGTAAGAACTCAGTCCGGACCGCGAAGAAAACACTACACTTCACCATTACAAAGATCGACTGGTTAACCCTCTGAAGCCGAAGCTCGTATAAATATTACGTAAGAACTCAGTCCGGACCGCGAAGAAAACACTACACTTCACCATTACAAAGATCGACTGGTTAACCCTCTGAAGCCGAAGCTCGTATAAATATTACGTAAGAACTCAGTCCGAACCGCGAAGAAAACACTACACTTCACCATTACAAACATCGACTGGTTAATGCAGTCCAGATGTATTTTTCGCCATATTTGAAGTCTGTGGTTTACTTCAACCGCGAAGATCGAAGTATCGTGTTTCTCAAAAATGTAGGACCACCATTTAATTCTAGTTGAGATGTGTAAGTCATTAAGGTCTCCGTCATTTTTGTATTTATAAGAATATTAGTGAGGGGTTTTGTGTAAGTATAATTAATTAATCTTACTTGTTTAATTCTTGTCCGTCTAATCACAATTTAAAATTTAAAATATTTAAAAATACCATATGATGTTCTCTATCGAAACATTCGATTTACACTAGAACATAATTTTTTCTCACGACATGTTTCAGTTCTTAAATGCATTTTTTTTTATATTATTGTATTTTAGTCAGATGTTTATTAGATATCAATGTTCTCTTCCAGATTCAATTTTTTTAACATATTCGAAGTTGTTCTATATATGTTTCGATAGAGAACATCATATGGTATTTTTAAATATTTTAAATTTTAAAATTGTGATTAGACGGACAAGAATTAAACAAATATATATTTATCACAATATGACGCAATTTTATCATCTCATTAATCTTACTTGTAACAAATGAACATCAAGACTTTGTGCACTGGCATAGAAACGGAAGTGATGGAATTTGAGGTTATGTGCTCAAAACTCCTTTATACTTTGCAATTCGAATTTCACTTAAAGGACTTTATGGACACTGTGTATGCTGATAAAAATAGAATTACTCTCTATACTTCCAGTTAGCTTAATTTGCACGCGTCTAGTACACGTGACTGTGTCATGGTCAGTGCTATGATTGTTTCTCATTTAGGAAAGGGATCTTCATTTTTTATTCAAAGGTCAGAACAGCGACTAGAATGTTCATTATTTATATGTTTGTGGTGTATTATTAGACTTTCAAATACATATGTATTTCCCATCCACGCAAACTGTCCTCTCACAAAGCTGAATTTCGGCATTATTCGTGTAAAGTGTGGATATTATTTATTATTATTTAGTGTTCTGTCTGACGACAGGTCCATATGAACAGGATCCTTCCATCCTTTTCTCTTCTTGGACTGGGACCTGTTCATATACGTTCTTGGCAGATGATCCAGAAGTGGTTTGCCATTGCCTTCTTCTGTGTGTGAATGGAGTAATTGTTGGGATGCCACGAAGGAAAACTCCGTGTTGCCTAGACCACGGCCTTGCCCAACAAAAGTTATAAATTCGGGCACCGCCGGAAATCGAACCCGAGACCCCAGGATTACAAGGCAAGCGTTCTAACCGCTAGACCACCGTATATAAATAATGGATAAATATAAATGCATAAATATGAGTATGCCTATTCTCATATTTATGCATATCCCAGATAATGGACAATATCAACATAATATTGGCATAACAATTATATGTAATATATCACATTGAGAACTAGCTTAAGTCACCGGAATTAAAATACACTTTTCAATATTTATCTTTATTATCTGATCAAATTCTATATAAAAATGTCGTGTTTTGTACACATATGTCTTCTCAGAATATTTGGTGGCTGAATTGTATGCCCATTCGAGTTTCATTAAAATTAATTACGGCCTGAGGAAGTACAAGGAATAAGCTCATCATCAACGTATCGAGTACTCGTCATTTTTTGTCATGCGTCTGCTGGAAGTATGCGCCCCCGGTCATTAAAGAATGTTTCATTTGCAGAATTATAGGGATTTCTTAGAATCGGTTTGTAGTCTGTCCCCATAATAAATGAACCCGCGACCTGCTACTGAGGGCGAACTTCATCAGGCTCGCTTCTTGTTCAACACTTTTGTCAATATTTTCCACGTATTCCTCATTTCTTTCCATTCTGAACAATTGCCAAGTGCCGATTGATTTATGCTAACCGCCGCGAAGGAATTTTTGGATGCGTGTTGTTGGTAGCACTGCTACGGACATGCTCTCGTAGTTGTGTGTCGGCGTGCTGTAGTGGGGCTGCCAGAGCCTCTGCAGGCCGTGCGTGGCTCGGATGACAGAGTTACTCCAGCCGGCGCCGAGCACAGTACATTACGATAAACAATGTTTGATACTACTGGCTGGCTACATGCACATATACGAACTGGCATTATTAAAATGTTACGCGTAACAAATCAAACTTTGGACTGAAGTCTTTAGTGTGAAATTTCATATTGATGTTGATTTTTAGTTTTGTTTTTAATTTTTTGTCGTAAGTGTGATGTGTGTATCAGATGTGCAGATGATGGTTTTGACATCTTTTATTGTTAATAGATGAATGGATTTTTCGGAGAAATTAATTCGATAGTGTTTTTGAACGAACATTTTCTTTAGAAAATTGTGTAGAACAGTGTAACTCTGGTACTAATGATGTAATTAATTCTGGATTAGATTATAATAAATCATCGTTTAACGTAATTAATCATAATGCGCGTTTGTGAATGTGGTTTTATAATAATTATATCTTCTGACAATATGTAGTCAAGTTCCTAAGTGTGGATTGTGTGTGAACATTTGCGGAAAATAACATCAAGTGAACTAATAACAAAGAAAACGATATCCGTGTTCGAGTCCAAATCCAGGGATCGACTTTAGCCCGTCAGTTTTAAATACGCTGTTCGATCAGTTATTTCGAGTCTCCACAGAGAGATATTTTAGTTGACATATTTTTAAACTGTGCAGTGAACGCAAAAGTGTTACAAAGATGAACACAATTTATTGGTCAGCTGCGCGTGAGACTAAATCCGGAAACATGGCCGGCTGTCGGAACTTCCTTCTATTACTCGTGATGATGTCAGGAACTTTAATTTGCATGGCTCATTTAGAACAACCTGTGCATTTCTCTCGACAGTGGGCTGTCCATATAGAAGGAGGGAAGCAGGTAGCGGACTCCATAGCAAGTAAACACGGTTTTGCCAATTTAGGAGAGGTAAGTGTTAAATTTTTTTTTTTTTTGCTAAGAGTTTCCAGCCTTGGAATCACAAACCTTGAAAGCTCTGCTGAGTAAACAAATGACAAAAGGACAGGCCTTTCCAACGTGCAATTTGTGGGCTTCATTTAGACATGCTTTTTTTTGTGCATGGAAATTATTATTGTAAAAAATGTTACAAAAAATTTGTAAGTTATTTCTAGACTCCGCCAACAAACTGTATGACGACAGGTCAGGTCCATATGAACAGGATCCTTCTATCCTTTTCTCGGACTGGGACCTGTTCATATACGTTCTTGGCAGATGATCCAGAAGTGGTTTGCCATTGCCTTCTTCTGTGTGTGAATGGAGTAATTGTTGGGATGCCACGGAGGAAAACTCCGTGTTGCCTAGACCACGGCCTTGTCCAACACAAGTTATAAATTCGAACCCGAGACCCCAGGATTACAAGGCCAGCGTTCTAACCGCGAGACCACTGTGGCGTTCAAAAGTGTGGATAGAAAATAAAATAGTAAATATCTTGTAGTCATGTTATGTCGTATGTAGATTTAGCCACGTTTGTATTAACCTTTCAGAAACTACAAAGGAACCAAATTCAGAGGTTCTGATCCATTGTCCTGTCACAGCTAGTGTGCGATAAATTCGTAACGTTTATAATCCTGAAACATTTCGTTTAAAATTCTCTACACGTAAATAACGTAAAAGATAAATGTTTATATTTAAAATAGGCCGATTAGTCGTAAAGTGATAGAGGATGGTTTGCTATATATTTGTTGCTGAATACATTTAACACATAGCATGAAAACTAATAATCATGGACCAAAACGTGGAGAATATTACGTCATGACTAATGAAGAAATATGTCTCGTTATCATTGTATAATGTCAATGTTTTATGATATCAGACTGATAAAATGTTTTAATGAAAATTCAAAAGGTTCGTGTTAGTAAGAGACACGTTTGAGAAACAGGACATGTGTTAACAGTTTGAAACACGTTAATTTTCTTTTTTCGTAAGGAAAATTATTGATATTTACATACAGGAAAGGTAGACTCTTTGGATTATAAGAAAATCTCTGGCAGAATTACTAACATGTATTACGACTTTCAAAAGAGAATTAATACGAGGAAGGATAGGAAATTCGTTACTACACGTATCACTTGGCTTAGTCTTCGTTGAAAACATTTTTTGAAACTAAGTACACGTCTTGAGATATGAGTTTGTAACGTCAGCGATTTTGAAGATGACTGTCGTCTGGGTTGTTGCGCTTTATAGAATGGTGGAATTTTACCGACGTTTCGGGTGTGGTAGATGATGGATGGTGAAGGTAGCAAGCACATATAAAACGTCGGTAAACTTATACCAGACTACACGGTGCAACGATCTAGAAGACAGCCATTTTAAGTATAGGTCATGAACGCCCGGTTCCAACCCTGCGTACACGTAGGCTCATTAGCTAATTTCACAGAACAATTAGAGGTTTGAGTTCGTTAGGGTGTCTTATGGTATGACGTAACATTCTTTAAGTTTCGGTCCGTGATTAAGTGACTTACACGTGAGCGTAGCTCGCGTCATGAACGAACGAGAATCCTCTTAGCGGCATTAGGGAGGAAAAGATTATTGTTATTAATAAGATTGTATCTGCAGGATCTGCTCGGATCTTAACAAGTGACTTGTGTGGTTTGACAACCATTTGATTTCTGTGGAACTCCGTCTTTAACCCGTCCGCATACGAGGTGCGATCGGAAAGTTTCAAGACTGCGCCTATAAAAACCCGTACACTTATCTCAGGTATTAAATTCATCCATAACCCTCGAAGTAGTTCCCCTGGGAGTGAACACAACGATCCCAGCGCCGCTGCCAAGCCTGGAAGCATCCCTGGAAATCTTTCTTGGTCAGCCTGTCAAGCACCATCTGCGATTCTGCCTGAATCTCTT